AGAAGAAGGTGGGAGCCCCAGGCCCAGCCCCGGCCGTGAAATCCTCCTGTTTGCTTGGCCTCGGCGGCTCTTCGAATTTGTTGTTAGCAAGACCTGCCTTGGTTGCTGCGTCGATATTCTGATTGATCGAATCAACGATTTCGCCCTTTGGGCTGCCGGCCGCGGTGCCGAAATTGCCCTGTGAACAATGTTCAAAATGTTAGCGTCGCGAAAACACCAATACCTGCAGCAGCTCGTTCAAGACTATAAATACAGTAGATTGTCTATATGATGAAATGTCGCGCTATAGACAAGACAATTTTGTACGAAATCAGCGCATGTGACGTCCCCTCAAGTTTTACAGCAGTAAATTAAGTAACATCAGTAAAAAAAGAACGCCTTCCCTTGAAATTACATTCCTTGGGATTGGTTGATAAAGTAGTATTTAAAAATAGTTAAATTGCATTGAAAACTTGAAATTCAGATAATGGCTTTGGTTTAATGTTAAATAAAAAAAGTTGTCTAAGGTAGAAGAGTGCAAAAAAACGGTACATTAATGCAGAATAAGTGCCATTACAAATAAATTTTAGTACTTTATTGACTGTCCATGTACAAACTGCGGCTGCAGAAGTTTACTAGTTAATTTTATGGCGTAAAACGTACCACATTCGCAAAATAGAATTGTTTAAACGTAATCTGCTCTTCTTTTCCCGAAAATAATATTTTTTCTCATACCTGCATTCAACTTAGTTTCACGAAAGCAAAACAGAATTTTCAGTTCTCTGAAAACACATATTTAATACTTTTTCAGTTTATAGTAACTTTCTTTATAGTGCAGCACACGTTAGCAGAACATTTTGTTCCGCGGTGTTGGATTTTGCCTGCGTTGACCCACTATTCCCTTCAATATATTAATTTGGACAGAACTTTTCTATTAAAAAGCATTTTGCGCCTCAAGTCAATTCACTGAATCAAAGAAACAACCTCAAATGTGTGTCAAACCAGCCACTCAAATTTCGATCTTCACATTGCCTGAGTTAGGCAATCTACTGTATAACGGTAAGGCA